TCCCCTGCACAGCCGCTGGTCACCAGGAGAGCTCTGCCTGCCAGGGAGGCCCCGGGGACGCCCTCGGCCGAAACCCTGCCATGATGTTTGGCTTTTCTCCCCGAGCCGAAAGGGGAAAGCTGCCGGGGACAGCCGGCCAAACGGAGCACGCGGCATTTCTCACCGGCAACCCCCCCACCTCCCACCCGGACTCGCCCGGGGGCTCTGCTCGGTTTTTTTGCACTGACTAAACGGGAAATTCCTCCTCTCTCCCATCTCCCTTTTGGAGATCTCCACCCCGAGCCCCGGCAGCGTTGAGATGGGGACTCTGCCCCACGCCGGGAGCGGGGCCACTGCTCCCCCCTGCTGAGTCGCAGGGGTACGTCTTTCAAGTGTTTACAATGAGAAAAAAAAGGAAAAAAAGGAAAAAAAAAAAGAAGAAAAAAAGAGAAAATGGACAAAAAAAAAAAAACCAAACAACAAACCACAACTGAAGCTTCGTGTTGACTGGCGTGTTCTTCAATTTGAGCTTCCCTGCCCCGGTGATGTTTACAGACTGGTCACTCTTTAACTCAGCTATAACCACTCAGAGACTGGAGAGCTGCAGCATCCCCGCCGCCCCTCCTGTGCCCCCTCGCCGGGCTCCTCTTGCCAAAACCGCCTCCCCTCTTTCTTTTCCATTGGCTTTGAGTTGGACCCTTTTGAGGAGGGTATGGGGAAGGCCCCAGTGGCCCCCCTGGATGTCCCCAGCCACCCCTAGTCACAGGGGTGGCTTTTCTGGAGGTGACAAGATGGTGTCATTTCATGGCAGTGACCCCCCTCGCCCATCCCCGTCCCCTCCTGGCGCGGCGGGCGCGTTTTCGTTGGTGAGACCTCCCCTGCCGGTGGCCGTGCCCCTGCGGGAAACCTTTCTGTATTTATATATTAAAAAAAAAACGGGGGAAAAAAAGAGTTCAGAGCTTGGGGGGAGCTTCCTTCATTAGTCAAGGTGTTTTGATATGGTATTAAAACAATGTTCAATAAAACATTCACTGTTATTTTATTTCACTGGCTTTCTTGGTGAAGCAGATGATGCCAGTGGGGTGCTGGAGCCCCCCACCCACACCAGTTCCACTTCTTTGTGCTTGCCATGTGGGGATGGCCACAGTAGTGCTCAGCAGGTCCCAGGGAGCTCCCACCTGGCACCGGCAGCACTGCAGCTCAGGGGAAGTGACTGAGGTGGGACCCTGACGATGCCCTGCCCTGTGTGTGCTGTCAGGAACCTCCTGGGAAGGGGCTGGAGGGTCCTATCCCCCTAAACAACTTTGCAGCACATGGATAGTGTGAGTCCAAAGGCTTTATTGGGGGTTTGAGAATCCCTGATCCCCAGAAGTGGGGATGGGGGGATTTGTAAGGACACACACAGTGGCACTGCAGGGCAGCATGGCCACCCTGGCCTTGACTTCAGGGGCTGAGGCTCCCCAGTGCCAGCTCAGTGCTGGTGCTCCCCCTCAGAGCACCTTGCCGGGGTTCATGAGGTTGTGGGGGTCGAGTGCAGCCTTGATGGAGCGCAGGGTGTCCAGGCCCTCCTGGCCCAGCTCCTCCTGCAGCAGTGCCCGCTTGCCCAGCCCCACACCGTGCTCCCCCGTGCAGGTGCCCCCGGCTGCCAGTGCCCGCCTGTGGGACAGGGAGGAACAGGAGATGGGATCTCTGTATCCAGTCCCAGCCCCCCAGAGCACCCTGGCCCCACCTGCCCAGGCGCTGGGTGAAGGCGTGGATGCGCTGGGCCTCCTCCGGGTCTTGGGAGTTGAAGACAAGGATGCAGTGGAAGTTGCCATCACCCACATGTCCCACCATGGGTCCTGCAAGTCCACGGGTCAGATGGGTGTGGCATGGGGGATGGTGGCCCCCCAACCCCCTCTGTCCCAGGGGGCTGTGGCCCTGCTGACCGGTGAGGCTGGAGGCCTGCAGGTCCTGCTTGGTCTCCACCACCACGTCAGGCAGACGGGAGATGGGCACACAGACGTCCGTGGAGTAGCCCTGGGTCAGGGAGGGCAGAGCTGTGGCACTCAGAGCACCATGGGCACTGCTGCCATCATCCCCATCCTTGTGCCTCACCTGGCAGCCGGGCCGCAGGGCCAGGGCAGCGTACCAGGCATTGTGGCGCATGGACCAGAGCTGCTCGCGCTCCTCCAGCCCCTCCGCCCAGGCCAGGCTGGAGCCGCCGTTCTGTTGCACGATCTCCTCTGATGGTGACCAGGAGCTCTGGGGTACGACCCACGGCACCCCCAGGCACCCAGCCCTTACCCATCTTGGAGACCCATCCCACATCCTGGGATACTCCCGGTTCCTCTGTCCCTTGTCTCTTGGTCCCCGTCTACCACCCTGTGACACCCCTAGTCCCCCCTATCCCATGTTCATGAGCCCCTCAGCAGATCCCCAGATCACCCCTCCCTCACCCTAGTGTCTTCCTGGTCCCCATCCCAAGCATCCATTGCTGGTCCCCTCTCCTCCTCCTATTCCAGGCCATACCCATCTGCTGCTGCTGCTCAGCCAGGCTACACCGGGAGCCGTGCACCTCCAGGAGGAGCGTGGCTGCCACGGGCAGCCCCATCCCGCTGAAGCGGCTGCAGGCATCTGCCATCACCTCATCCAGGAACTCTGGGTGGAAGGAGGGAGTGTTGAGCTCCAGCACCAGCACCTGGATCCCCAGTCCCACCTCTGGCTGTGAGCACTCACCAATACGGGCCACAGGCACGGCGGCCTGCAGCACCTGGACGGTGCAAGCCACGGCTGCCCCCACGCCGGGGAAGGAGGCGATGGTGACAGCAGTGGCCTCGGGCAGCGGGTGCAGGCGCAGCGTGGCCTGAGTCAGGAAGCCCAGGGTGCCCTCAGAGCCCACGAAGAGCGAGGTCAGGTCGTAGCCGGCCGCCCGCTTCCTGCACAGAGCTGGTGAGCAGGCGGCCACGTGGCACATGGCCAGCCCAGCACAGACCCCCGGCCTCCCAGCGCCCACCTGGGCTGGCGCCCGGGGCCGGCGGTGTGCAGCAGGCGCCCGTCCGGCAGCACCACGCGCAGGTTGAGCACGTTGGGGCGCATGGTGCCGTAGCGCACCGCGTTGGTGCCCGAGGCGCCCGTGGCCGCCATGCCACACAGCGAGGCGTCTGCCCCGGGGTCTGCAAGCAGGGGACGGGCAGGGGAAGCAGGTGGGATGGTGTCCATTCCCACATGGACACCACTGTGACTTCAACTGCAGCAAAATTATGGGCATTCCCAAGAGCAATGGGGCCATGGCAATTCCTTTCACATGGGCACCCCTGGGAGCACAGCATACCTGTGGACACCATATCACTCCCAACATTCCCACAAGGCCCGTGCCTAAAGGAATCCCCAGACCTCCATAACTGTCCCCAGCCCCATGACTGCCCCCACACCCACGGTACCGACAGGGAACCAGAGCCCGGTGCCACGCAGGTGCTTATTGAGGGCCTTGCGGGTGACACCGGGCTCCACGGTCACCGAGAAGTCCTCGAGGCTCAGCTCTGCGATGGCGTCCATGCGGCTCAGGTCAAAGCAGACACCGCCCTGGCACAGGGGCACCTGAGAGTCTGGGCACGGCCGGGCACCGAGAGCCCCTGGGGGCCAGAGGTGCCGGGGAGCCGATACCTGCACGGCATTGACGCCTCCTTCCAGGCCGGTACCGGTGCCGAAGGGCACCATGGGCACCCGGCGGTGGTGACACAGGGCTGCCAGCTCCTGCACCTGCCCCACCGCCTGGGGCCACACCACGGCGTCCGGGGGGGCACAGCTGGGGGACAGGCAGCACCACTGACCGACTGACTTCACCACCTCAGCCTCCCTCCGCATGGCCCTTCCCCAGCCTGGGACTTGTCACAGGGCCCTTCCCTTCCCCTCGGCCCCTTGTCCACCCAAGTATTTCCCATCCTCGGGCCCGGCCCCTCCCCTGTGCCCCTTCCCCTTCCAGTGGCTCCTGCCTTCCCCGGTCTCCTCCCTTCCCTGTGCCCCTTCCCACGGTCCTTCCCCTCCCCAGGGCTCCCGGCTCCGGGGGCACTCACGGGTGCATGGACTCATCGTGGCCGTGCTGCTCCCGCACCGCGGTGGCCGTGGAGACATTGGGGGTCCCGACCACGGCCCTCAGGGCCTCCACGAAGTCAGGGGGCAGCGGGGGCTGCGGGGGCAACAACGGGGACGCGTCAGGGATGCCCTGGGGAGGGTCTGGTCGCGGCCACGAGGCCAAGTGGCCGCGTCAGGACCTGAGTGGCCCTTGGAGCCCCGGCCCCACCTTGGAGCAGCAGCTGCGGCGCCCCAGGGCTGCCGCCAGCGCCAGCACCCTCCGCAGGGCCATGTTGCAACGGGACAAGAACGGGAACACGGGAACTGCACAGGACCGGGACATCGCCCTCCCCCGCAGCCTGTCCGTCCCTCCCCCACACCGACACCTTAAGGTGGCTCCAGCCACACGCGGCTGTGGCCCTGGCGGAGGGACCTGCCTCCCACCAGTGCCTCTGCTCGTGTTCCCGTGCTGTCCCCTGCCCGGCGCACTCACTGCATTCACCGCGGCCCCACCCTCACGGTGTCCCCATGCCTGCTCAAGTGTCCCAGCAGCTGCTCAGGGCTCCATGACCCCATAGGAGACCACACGTCCCCACGCTCCTCCCCGCCCAGGCAGGAGTCACCGTGTCCGCCCGTCCATCTGTCCCCATTCTCGGTCAGGGGTCCCCATGCCCCCTGTCCCTCTGTTCCCATGCGCAGCCAGGTTTCCCCATTCAGGCACAGGAGTCACCGTGTCCCCCCGTCCATCTGTCCCCTTTCCCAGCCAGGTGTGCCCATGTCCCCCTGTCCATCTGTCCCCTTTCCCAGCCAGGTGTCCCCATGCCGCTCTGCGCTCCTGGACAGGTGTCCCCATGCCCAGAGAACTGACCCCAGCCCATGCCCCATCCTCAGCCGGGGCTCTCCCGGCCACCCGCCTGCCCCGTGCCCCGCTCCCGTCCGTCCCCGCACGGTGACAAGGACACCAAGTGTGCTCCGGGGGTTGCAGCGTTTATTGCAGGCCTCCGTTGGCCTCGAGGATGGAGTCGATCCAGTTGCGGAGCTTGGTGACGCGGGCGTACACGCCGGGCGTCTTGGTGTCGCAGGTGCTGCTGCCCCAGGAGACGATGCCCACCAGGTTCCAGGCGCCGTCCCTCTGGCACACCAGCGGGCCCCCGGAGTCGCCCTGCACGGGGCAGCGGGTGAGCGCCGGGGCGGGGCCCGGGGCCGCGGCGGCAGCGGGGGCCGGGGGCACGTACCATGCAGGAAGAGGCTCCGTCGGCGCCGGCACAGACCATCACGTCGCGGATGCGGAAGCCCCAGAACTCCTTGCACTGGGCGTTGGTGAGCAGGGGCACAGCCGCCTGCTGCAGCACCGCCGGCGTGTCCGAGGCTGCGGGGAGCGGGGGGCGTCAGCGCCGCCACCGGCACCGGGAGCGGACCGGGAATGGGGAAAGGGCTGGGACGGGGAGGGCGGGACGAGGAGGACAGGACCGCGATGACGGTGGAGATGGGGACAGGACTGGGTCAGCGTTGGGGATTGGTGATGGGAATGAGGGATGGGACTGGGACAAGGATGGGGATATGGGAACGGGATGGAGATTCAGATTCAGATTTGCATGGGGATCTGGATGGATGGGAGATTGACATGAGCGTTATGATTCAGATGAGCACAGGGACTAACCATATGGATGAGGAAGTGGACAGGAAAGACAGCGGACAAGGACGGGGATGGGTATTTGGATGAGGCAGGGGACAGGAATGGGGATGGGGACAAGAAGGTGCAGTTACCGCTGGAGTCAGTGAGCCCCCAGCCAGTGGTGACGCAGGTCATTCCCCCCGGGAATTCGTCAGTGGCCGCGGGCAGGCAGACGGGGGACACGCGATCTGACAGCTGCGCCGGAGTGGCCAGTTTGATCAGGGTGATGTCGTCGTGGATGGTCAGCATGTTGAACCTGGGGTTCTTGAAGACCTGAAGCACGCAGCACGGCTCTCAGCACCTGCAGCCCCTGCCAGCGTGCCGGGCACTGGACACTCCACAGGGATCAGCAGGGACCTTGGGGACCAATGGGAACCCCGGGGGTGGCTCCTCTGGGTCCCATGATGGAAGGGTGTCTGCGTTGCAGGGCTCAGTCCCTGGAACGCTGGGAGCAGGGCTGCCTCAGGTCACGTTCCCTGCCCTGTGATGAAATGGACCCTGAGGCCTGAACCCCTATCCCTTGGGAGCTCCTGGGAACATGGGGACATCTAGGGGACCTGACCTGAGGGATGAGTGGCAGCAGGGACACCCAGGGGATTGCAGTGCAGAGATGTGGGACACCATGGACAGCCCAGGGAACCCTGACCCTCGGGATAAGCGGAACTGGGGCCTCCTCGGGAACACAAACCCCAGGACAAGGAGGACCCGGACATAAGCCCCCAGGCCGCCCGTGGTGGCTGCGGGATCCCGCAGGCACACGGACCCCGCCCTGGAGGTACCTTCTCGATTTTCAGTTCCTGCTGATCAGGCCCGGGTGCGTCCTGGTCGTAGGCGCCCACCACCACGGTGTCGGTTTTCCTGGGCACAGGCAGGCACTGAGCACGGGACACCGGCACGGGGACCGCGGGTTCCCTGGGCACCCTGTGCCCGTGCCCAGCCCCGGCCCGGCCGGCAGCAG